CATTGTACAGTGGCATAATGTACACCTCTGCCTACCCTATGTTATGTTATTATTAGACAGTTACTCACCGCAATAATACTCCAATTATTAATATAGAGTACAGCGTAGAACAGAAGTAGGACGACAAACCGACAGACAGCCACCATCACTATATCGAACAGCGATGTCTTAACATTATAATGCACTATTTCAGAATTCATTATTTGCTCTAAAGTTTCACCTCGCATCTGAAAATTTAAAGAAAATTGTTAACAATTTTATGACTTTTCAAGTGATCAGGGTTCGATAGCGGGGTAGGGCAAAGGGTTTTCTGTTTTTCGATTATTAGATTGGAGTTTATATAGGCTTATCTCATACATAGGAAGTCAATAAGTCATCACATAATTGGAGAAAAGTGGATGTAGCGTCAAGAACAATTATTATTATTGTAAGACAATAAAGATTGATTTAGTTCAGGGACAGTAACCAAACCATATCTTTTGTAACCATTGGTTGGTTCAGTAGCTAACCAACGGGTTTTTTTTTAAGGGGGGATATTCATCGTTCATATTATATGTCATATTAATTGTTTTTTTTATGACTAAAAACCACCCCGTTCCTTCTCCTGCACGTCGAGCCAGAGCCCCGGTAACCCGTTAGATTCTCCGCGACTCCGAATAGGTATCGGCCCTGTTGGGCCCCATCTGTGGTGGTCTGATGGCTCTTTGAGACGCGGGTCTGTTTCTGGTCGGACGGGGAGCCCTCATGCTCGCCGTCCGCAGGCCCGTGAACTAACCAACGGTTACCGTCACTGTACTGAACCAACCTTTTTTTTGTAACCTGCACACTTGAAAGCTGTGCTGACAGTACATACGAAATCATCATCATCATCATCAACAGCCTATAAATACCCACTGCTGAGCAAAGCCTCTTCTCACACGGAGAAGGTTTGGGCAATTAATCACTACGCTTGCACAATGCGAGTTGGTGATAACAAACTTATAATTAGATATTATAAGCCCAGGTTTCCTCACGATGTTTTCCTTCACCGTTTGTCAGTGGTGTCTGAATAATCTTAGAAAGTACATATAACTTTGAAGAAGTCACATTGATACTTGCCGTTGGTAGGTTTCCTCCTCCTCCGGGCCACCACGACATTATACGAAATATCAACTAAATTTTCATTTATAACTAAAAATTGACTTACCATAACACATATTAACCACATAAGGCTAGTGAATAGTAGATCAAAAGTGACAAACAGACAGAAGAATCGCCTGACTGTAGACATCTTCCCCTGCGGCCTGTGTCCGGCCACCAGATCTTCGGACACCAAGTTCAGTGACGTGGAGTGAGCTGGAATCAGTCCTAATCACTCAATATCAATATTACAGGAAGAAAGAAATAAAGTAAAGAGAAAGAGAAAAAAAGAGAAGGTGAAATAGGAAGAGAAAGAATAAAAAGAAAGTGCAAGATTTTGCTATAATCCCCAAACTTGACAAGCTAGTTGGGGATCGCAGTTAGGTTACAGTTTTGATGTTACTTCACTATGGGACTCATAACATAAATAGTGAAAAGTGGGTGTTACATTAAACAGTGGCATTAAGTGCCGTAGTGTGCACCTCTGCCTACCCCTTCGGGCATAAGAGGCGCGATGTTATGTTATGTTAAAAACTGACAAATATCTATTTTATTCGACAGTTAAAATAAATCACGATTGAAAAATCGGCCCTAAACCGATTATTTCGATGTGCAAAAGACTCGTTCGTTTCACCAAAGAAACTTGACTCAACCATGTACAAAATGAAATCAAAGAATAGGGATGATGACAGGGTGTGAAAATTAAAAATCTAATTAGTCCGTAAGTTAGGTAATGAAAAAATATTAGACACGTATTTTTTATTTTGTCGTATAATAAAACAATACTTAGATAAAACGAATCAAAGTTTAGGAGTGGGGGCTAAAACGTCATTTCTACGTATAAAATGTACATAGAAGTGACGTCACGCGCCATTTCAAATCAATATATCGTCAAAAGTATACGTTTCTGTAAGAAAATAAAAAATACGTGTCTAATGATTTAAAATAATCTACCAGACGGACATTAAAATAAAAATTAGGCATCTTCCCTATCCTTACTAATATTATAAATTGGAAAGTGAGTTTGTTTGTTTGTTCCGCTTTCACGCCGTAACTACTAAACCGATTGCTTTGATTTTTTGCAGACGTAAAATTAGAAGTCTGGATTAAATAATAGGGGTACTTTTTATCCCGGAAAAATTTGATATTCCCGAGGGAAAATTAAAGTACTGGTATAGATGGCGCTGTGTGTATTGGTATATATCACATAGGCTACTTTTATCCTTTTGTGACGCGAGCGAAGCTGCGGGTAAAAAAGCTAGTTAATAAATAAATAAACTTACTTAGCGTCCGATGGTGTGGGCTTACACTACTTAGCAGCGACTCGGCCGCCTCTCTGTAATGCGGCTGCGACATCCTGACCTCTGGAACCAAACGACAAATTATATTTACTAACATTATCACTATAATAATGAACAATCCTTTGTAAATACTAATATTAATATCGCTTAGACGTAGAGAACCTAACGGGTAACCGGGGCTCCGGCTCGACGTGCAGGAGAAGGAGTGGTTTTTAGTCAGTAAGTCTGACACTCCCTCCCGCCTCACCCAGGCGGGAGCAGCCATTCGATGATTTTCCCCCTTAAAAAAAAGGGTCCATTCCCATCTCTTCCTGAGAGCAGATGTGGATTAACTTTTTTCATTTTATCAAACACTATAACTTATTCCTTTCACAAAATGGGGTCTTATTCCTTGTTTTAGCGGCACTGTTGGTGCGGTGGCTGGACAACCGGCTGCCGCGCAACGTGTCGCGTGTTCGATTCCCGTAAGGGGCAACTCTATGTGTGATTGACAAATTTATGTTCCGGGTTGTTGTTGTGTAAACACACCCACGATACAGGAGAAAATCCTTGTGTGTGTGGGCCAACGTCTTAAAAAAAACAAAATGCTCTAAATATACGACATACGTTATCAATTAATAAAATACTTGTAAATCAAGAAAAATGAAAAAAAAAGCACTAGTGTCTCCATTTCTTTGCTCCCAAATATAGTTATTTAGGCACGAGTAACTCGACTGGTTTTATCCATGCTAGACGCTCATAGAGGAAAGTTCTGTATTGTCGTCAAATAAACATTAAGCTCAGAGTTAGGTTACTCTTCTGCTACATCTGGCTTCTAGTCATGTACGGATGTGAAGCATGGACCGTGAAGGAGGACACTACGAGACGTATAAACGCATTCGAGATGTGGTGTTACCGTCGTATGCTCCGAATCAGCTGGACACAAAGGGTCAGCAACGAATCCGTGCTACAGCGCGTCCAAATGACCCGGAAAATTATGCTGACCATCAAAAAGCGAAAAATCGAATATCTCGGTCACGTGCTTAGACACGATAGATATTCACTGCTTCAACTGATCATGATGGGCAAAGTGGAGGGGAAGAGACGTGCTGGGCGCAGAAGAAAATCGTGGCTGCGAAACGTCCGGGAGTGGACCGGCATTACATCTGTCGAACAATTGTTCCGCATGGCTACTGACAAGGAGAAATACAAGAAGCTGACGGCCGACCTTCAACATTGAAGAGGCACTATAAGAAGAAGAAGAAGAAGACGCTCATACTTATGACCAGCATTCGTCTATCAGTACCTAGCAGCGCGACAGTCTCCGCGGGTCGCGGAATGCCTCCAGCATGGCTTGAAAGTTAAACCAAGTCGAGTTCCTCGTCAAATAATTACGTGAGTAGGCTGAAAAGACTAAGGCGGCGACCTTTGTTTTACGAATTACAACGAATACGAATTACTTTGTTTTACAATTTTATTGGTAGAACATAGAGATGCTATTAATGTATGTTAAACAACCTTCTGTATAACCTGTGTTCACAAATAAATTGATTTGATTTGATTTGATTTGTCTAGTAGTGGACGTCTTTCGGCTGTTGATGACGATGATGATGAAGCCGAAAGACATAGTAATTAATTGAGTATGTCTTACGAAACTTATAATACAAATCTTTAATTCCTTACCAAAATTAGAAAGTATATCTATCTGTCACGCTGTCTCGCCGGATCGGGAATGAAACTCAAGACCCTTGACACCTTGTAGCGATGTCTACCACTTGACTAATAAGACAATCATACATTAACCGCTGTACAGTCATTTAATGGCTACTTAAAGCATTCGTTAATAAATTGTTTTTAAAACAAACAAAATCGTTACTAAATAACATTTTATGTAATCACTAGATACCTCTAAGTACTGCAGTTAGTATATTTATTTATTTACTGTTTTTTTTTAAGGGGGGAAACTCATCGAATGACTGCTCCCGCCTGGGTGAGGCGAGAGGGAGTGTCAGCTCTCTGACTAAAAACCACCCCGTTTCTACTCCTGCACTTCGAGCCGGAACCCTGGTAACCCGTTAGGTTCTCCGCGACTCCGTATCAGATATATTTACTGTTGCCCGCGACATCGCTCGAGAAGAATATGAATTGGGTAGTTTCCAGGGTATCAAAATTAAAAATCTAATTAGTCCGTCAGTTAGATAATGAAAAAATATTAGACGCGTATTATTTTATTTTCTCGTATTAAGTAGCAATACTTAGATGAATTAGGTAAAGGCTGCTTAAATTCTATAGTGATAGTATAAGCACATTTTGAACAAATAAACAAACGAGTTTGTCCAAACAAAAAGCAAACATCAGCCGTGTAAAAGAAGTATCAATTCGCCTTATCACAACGTCCTTTGTATTGTTGTGACAACGAATGTTAATAGCAATTAACAATTAATAAACATTTAACTATCATTAACAAAGATTAACTAAAGTGTTAAATTAATTTATTATTGACTTTGAATGCAAATAAAAAAATCATAAAACATATTTTTGTGTGTTTATATTTGTTGCTCAATGACTTCGAAACGGCTAAAGGGATTTTTTTAAGGGGGTAAAATCATCGAGTAACTGCTCCCGCCTGAGTGAGGCGGGAAGGAGTGTCAAACTCTTACTGACTAAAAACCACCCCGTTCCTTCTCCTGCACGTTGAGCCGGAGCCCCGATAACCCGTTAGGGTCTCCGCGACTCCGAATCGGCATCAGCCCTGTTAGGTCCCATCCGTGGTGGTCTGATGGCTCTTTGAAGCGCTCGCGGAACGCGACGCGCCCAACTCTCGGGTCTGTTTCTGGTCGGGCGGGGAGCCACCCATGTGAGCCATGCTTACGGTAACAGCTAAAGGGATAGGGATGAAATTTGGAACAGTAGGGATAGATTATGGTCTGGAATAACATATAGGGTACTTTTTATCCCACGGGAAAGCCGGCAATGTCGCGGGCAAGACTAGTAGTCTATAAAATAAAAATTCTTTCAGTCTTGCTAAGCGCAAATCTCGAAAACGGCTGAACCAATGTAGATATTTGTGTTTGTTTTATTTGTAAGAAAAAAAAAATAGAGATGCGCTGGAAAAATTCCAAAGCCAAACAAAGTTCGCGGGGATCAAATACAGGGTACTTAACGTAGTTTCATGAACTTTTTTTCTTTTTTCAAGGATTTTGTCCTGTGTCGTGGGTGCGTTATTATAGCAGACGTTTGCTCAGCCACTGCGCCAGATGTGCAGTCAAAAATTATTTACAGATAATAAAATTATATTTAAAAATCTCTTTTATCTCATTCACTAGACAATTGCAGAAGACTGCATGGTTGGCGTGGTGGCTAGGCAAACAGCCACGAAGTACCTTTTTGTGTGATCCACAAATTGTCGTTTCAGATCTGGGTGTCATGTGTATGTGGACTTGTATGTTTTTTAAGTCAACGTACCCACGACATAAGAGAAAATCCTAGTGTGGGACAATGTATTACGATTACGACTTATCTACAAATAGTACCTAATTTCGGTTATGCATTGTCTGTCAGTCCCTTAGTCACCAGTTATGAACGATAAAAGATAATAATAACGATAAAAATGCACACCTGTGCCTATTTCAGGGACTATCAGTTTACTATTATACCTAATCTATATTTTACAACTTTCATGTTACATACAAAATGAATTATTATGTTTTCGGCTTACTCACGTAATTATTTGACGAGGAACTCGACTAGTTTCAGGCCATACTAGAGGCTCATGTGTCAAGTGCCTAGGGCGCTAGATCAGTTTTTTTTTTAAGGGGGGAAAATCATCGAATGCCTTCTCCCGCCTGAGTGACGCGAGAGGGAGTGTCAGACTCTTACTGACTAAAAACCACCCCGTTCCTTCTCCTACACTTCGAGCCGGAGCTCCGGTAACCCGTGAGGTTCTCCGCGACATGTATGTGCTCCCAAGTGTTAGGTACAACAATTATTATGATCAATTCTTGTTATCTCGGGACTAATGGCTGACACAAACAATATTTGTCAATAATATTGATAGTGACTTTATATTTAATTACCAACAGTTATTATCTAGTACTTTGGAATACTTTTTGTATTAATCACTTTCATTTAAATGATTAAAAAAATATTTTTTGTTTTTTTTTACTTATTTTATTATTTTGCCTTTATGAATTTTCTTTCGACTTTAATTAAAAATAATTAGGTGGATCAGTAGAACTAATGTAAAGTAGTCAGTTTGGCACTTAGGAACATGTTTTGTTTATATTTTTTGTGCCAATATACCTGCCACATTAACTGCTTAATCCCGAAGCGGTCTCCGGTGACCACTCTCCATTAACTTCATTATAGACCTTAAAGGCTGGAGCTCAGTTTAATACTGTGGCCGGGCACGAAGGCTCGAGTCCGATTTTGAGCACCAGCCCGTAGAATTAGAATTCGATAATGCCATTCGGCATTAAGCCCGCCATTGTATAAGCATTTCCAATGTTTAGAGACTACTTTTGTAGTTATAAACAAATGTTCAGTACAATATATCAACATATTAAGAATTTTGATCTATTTTTCGTTATTTTAATAAGACATTTCCTAAGATAACAAGAATATTTCTGAAAATTTATCTAATACACAACATATAAACTGGGTGAAAATCACTTAGTTTTTTTTTATCCTCTAAATGGGTAGGTACAGGACTGTTCATTGTTAATCCCAGCCAATAATAATACTTTGCTACCTGAGCATCAAACCTCATACTGAGCTATTGTTCTCATTCTGAGCTATTTGCACTTTGGATTCACCATAGACCATAGTCACTATCTATTTAAATATTTTGAATGTTTTCTTTCTTTTACATGACAGTTACCAAAATGTTGTAAATACATATATTTCCATTGCAAAATTATGTAAAATACAAATTTGTCAAATTGTAGCTCATAAATCATAATTTACACATAAATATGAGGTACTTATGAGGTATTTAGGCTTAGATTAAATAAAAAAATATGAAGATTAATTTTGTAAACAAAGAACATTTTAAATTAAAAAATAACTAATATACAAGGCTGTATTCAACTAAAGAGGTTTCATGCTGAACCACAGACAAAAAATAACAAAAAGTTAAAATAAATTAGTGATTTTTCTAACAAAAGAATTAATTGAAACTCACAACAAGGAAGTCAAATGCATTGCAGAACACTTCTTGATATGGTCAACTCAGTAACTATGCCAATTCTGCATTCTACTATTTATAATTGATAAGGAAATTAGACCAACACCAAATGTAGGCCTGTTTTAACTGTTTTATCTCAATCACAGTTAATTATTACTATTACACTGATAACAACCAACATTTAATAGCTCAAATAAACAAAAAATAACAGATGGTTACGTACAAAAATATGTTTTCTTACCTTAAATCGACCTTCACGTAAAAATGTTCAATTTTCAACTAAAAATCACTTTGTTTACGTCCAAAAACAATATCACTTATTTTTAACGATACCACAAGACCAGGCAACGGTGACACATATTGGTCCTAATAAAAAAAACGTAATACAACAAAGACTTACTTGTTTTGTACTATCAAACAACACTTTTAAACTTAAATTACGAAATGCATCACTCGCTGGGCGTTGACATATAAATGCAGCTGTCAGGCTAGATGATGTTATTAGTAAGCTACATCTCGTTTCATAGTTATAGCAATTAGAAAATTGTTATCAAACAGTTCAATTGTTATCAAATTAACACAAAAGCTGAGTAGAAATCACAGTCGAGATGAATAATACGATAGCACGTTCCAGGTTTCAGGACAGCAGGATAGCTTAATACAACTTTACTTGTATTAAACAAGGACAGCAACATCTAAATGTTTGTGATTCTGTTATATACAAGTATGGAACGTTTCACGTTGACGCATAGTTTGACAATTACCTAAACGTTCCGTTTTACCAGATTGTGTAAATAGTGATATTATTTTAGTCAAGGACAGACCATCTTAATAATAATTAATTATTTATATAAACATATTTGTATAGTAAAAATATCTTAGTTGTTTCATGTAATCATTTTTTATTTTAATCGAGGTGCAAGCCGTAGGCAAATCAACAGAATTATATGAAATTGAAACGATCCGTATTATGGAACGGTTCTCCTAACAGCGGGAATGAAAAATTAATATTGTGCCTGAATTTTTATTTTTCCCTAGTTAATGAGTAGACATATTTAAAAACGTCAATGATAATTTTAAACACCAAATTGCTATCACAGAGTCACTGTTGACTCTATGTGACGACTGACGACATACCAAATACCTACTAGAACGTGTTTATATTTTGCAATATTAAAATAATGACGCAACTAAACTGACCATGACTATGATGTTATTACTAAACCAAATAAAACAAAACATTTGTCCTCGAAATCTGCGTTTTATCCACGTTTTATTTGAGAAGTCATAGCCTGTCGTTGCCTTAGTATTGGTTAAAAACTATAAGGTCGTTGCGATAATAATTTATTTTTAGAAACATCGACGTAGCAACGGCGATGCTATATTGAGTTGATATTTTTTCGTACTTATTCAAAATTTTTCGCTAGAATCGGCTAATGATATCAGAGAAGATAGGATTAAAATGAAGGAAGAAAGGTGTTCAGTATCTATCATTTTGATCTTATTGATAAAACGTGTCAAATTTATATAATAGGACAAGTTGGGACAAGTAGGTACAGACAGTTTTATAAATAACACAAAGTAAAATAGTAATCCAGATTTATTTAAAATTTACAACAATTTATAGAATTATTAAAAAAAAGTACAATCAATCTCAAATTATGTCCAACTTTGGTATTTTCGTAATAAGTAATCGTTATTCTAATTAAGTACTTATAGTTCGCCAAATAATTAAAGAAAACAAATATGAAGTTCAAATACAGAAGCAATAAAATTATATTAATCGAATATCTAGGAAATATTAAAAAAAAATACTAATTTGGAATACAATTTAACGAAATATCACTATAAAAAAATACAGACACACCGCCTCCATAATACACCATAGCAATTTTGTTTTCTGGCGATTGTTGTCATTTACATTAATATAGGCACTCGTTCGCACTCGCACAATACTTAGTATAGTCTTTTCCTTCAGAGAATAGAGATAGGGGTATTTTAGACTAACGAATCAAAACGAGTTAAAATAGTGTCGCTAACATCGATATATAAAAATATGTTCATAGTACAAACATGTCTCTTTCTATTATCACCGTTTATCGCCCCATGATCTCTTATTAGATTTACACTTGACCTTCATGTCGAAAAATCCATAACCACAGATAATTAATTCAATACCACCTAGTAGACCCAACTCGATTATCAGGTGGATCTTTGGCACAACAGTATGAAGCTAGAACACCAATAGACGCGAGGCATAGTGACAAAATACTGAAACCACAGACTGCTCCTGATGTTATGTCATTTAATGGCGTTCCTGACTTGGGTTCCACTGACAGAAGAATAAGGAGACCAAAGGCGCTGAGGAGTGAGAATGAAGATAACACGATGTAGCCTGAAATAACAAAAAACCAAGATTAGTTATTTGGCTATTGGCGCCTGATAGATTGGTGAATACAATATGTTGTTTTAAGTCGTTATCTAAAGTTTTTTTTTATTTCCATGAATTTCTGTACAGGAATGTATTAGAAATAATACAAATAAAGAGGTTAATATTAATAACATTCGTAAAATACTTAATAATACGAGATTTAACCTTTTGAGTACCGTCACTGTAGACACAATTAAATAACAATAGGTTGAGGTCACCGGTGTCCTCGCAGTGTTTGACAATTTAATAAAATATTTTAATTAGGAACCTATTCAGTACCTACCTATGTTCAAATTTCTACAGTTCTACTTTTAAAAAGTGGTCAAATGAATTTAAAATATTGTTCAATCAACTTTTAAACACTAACTATACAACAAATGGTGTTTGATTTAAATTAACTTATTTAATTATTTAATTTTTGAAAACAATTTTAAATCATTATAAATCTACTTACCCGAAATATAATTTCTATTTGGTAATAACTGTTGCCTTCGTGATCTTAATCCAAGTAGTCCTAGAAGGAAACACGTGAAACCAGCCAGCACGCCAAAGTCCAAATAGTAGCGCCTGCCAATCTGGAATAGCAGAGTATTGGTAGATAAAGACATTGCTCATCTAGTTTTTTTTACTTTAGATGGGACTGACGTTTGACCACTATCTCGCCTGGTGGTGCACGATGATGCGGTCTACGATTGAGCACGTCGTCCCATAAGCAACCTATTCTCTCGGGCCTTGAATACACCCAGGTTATACCTTTCATTGTCAGTCATTCCCCCTTAGTTGTTAAGAACCATTCTAATGTCTAGATGTTGTAGTGGCGCCTAGATCTATGACGCCCGCTTCTCATACATGCATGAGAGTGTGGGTTCGAAACCTACCAACTGCAAGTATCAATGTGACTTTTTTCGAGTTATCCCTAATAATGATTATATAGTCACCACTCGCATTTTGAAAGCGTGGCGATTAATGCTCAAACCTTCTCCCTGTGAGAAAAAGCCTTTGGTCAGCAGTGGCCGCTTATAAGCTGTAGATGTGATTGATTCAACATTAAAAATATTACTTACTACCCGCCCCGGCTTCGCACGGGTGTAATATGCATGTATTATCCATATAAACCTTTCTTAAGAATCACTCTATTTAAAAAAAACCGCATTAAAATCCGTTGCGTAGTTTTAAAGAATGAAGCATACTTAGTGACAGGCAGACGACGGATAGCGACTTTGATTTATACTAAGTAGTGATTTTACTTACAGCATACATCATGTAGAAACTTAGCCCTGTTGTCAATCCTCCACACATGGTCAGCATCACAGCTGCGATCAGCAAGGAGGCGGTAGCTCCTGATATAGTTTTAATGCTTGAAAACGATTTGTACGTCTCTTCGGAATACACTGAAGGTGGTGCTGCCACTCTGAAAAATACAATAAAAGGATGACAATTACGTTAGTTTTAGCGCCTTGTTCACCACCTTTATAAAAGGACCTGGTACAGTTATGTGGCAGAGCCAGATAGTTCATGTAAATCACTTTCTAAGAATATTCTATCCGGTATATAGCAGATGTCCAGAATACAGTGTGTTAGGCCCTGATGCTTTTTTTAAGTAATAATAAGGTTTTTAATAAATCTTATACTATTATATAAAGCGGAAGAGTTTGTTTTTTAGTTTGTTTGTTTGAACGCGCTAATCTCCGTAACTACAAGTCTGATTTGAATAATTCTTTTTGTGTTAGATAGCGCATTTATCGAGGATGGCTATAGGCTATAAAACATCTCGCTACGACCAATAGGAGCTGAGCAGAGCGTGTGAAACCGCGCGGAAGTAGTTAGTAATTGTTATAATGTTTTAGTCAGGAGAATAAAAGTGTTACACTTTAAATATGTCTATTTAATCTTTTAAACATAATGTCACACAACGTTATGCTTTTTTATCCACGATGGGGTGGGCACGCATACAATATAATAGCCTTCTGCCACAGATAAAGAGCACTACGTTACGCAATAGCAGCTGAGTCTACTGCCATGCGTAAGTACACCGAGTTCGAGTGCAAAAAACCAAATTTTTTAATTGTTGTAATGACTCCACGGTTGGCGCGGTACCTGGACAACTGGCTTGCGCGCAACGTGTCGCGGGTCCGATTCCCGCACGAAAAAACTCTTTGTGCGATCCACCTATTGTTTTTCCGGAACAGGTTGTCATGTGTATGTGAAATTATATGTTTTTAAACACACCCACGACACAGTAAAGAATCCTAGTGTGGGGCAACGTTATACTTAAAAAAAAGAATTCTGCATTCGCCTAACGGCCTAAGTACCTAATCACTGAGAAGCAGCTTTACGATGCAAGAATGCTACACTAAAATTGTACCTACAGCTTTGTTTTTTAACATTCAGTGAGTATAAATATAACGTATTTGACATTATTAATTACTAATCCAATAATCGTAATTAATAAATTATTAAAAGAATAGACTAAAACGTTAACATTGAACAATTGTTAAAGCGCCTAATCAATTAGCAAAATAATCGGTGTATTTAAAGAATTGCTATAGTACTTTTGTCAGGATAAATTATGAGCACAAAGTAACGCGGTTATTTTCGTTTCAAATCGTTCAATTTTGTGTTGTAAACGTACTATAATATTTCAATTACATTGTATTCACAATAAGGATATTCTATACTCTTGCAGTACCACGTAATGAGGGCAATCTTTATAACTTTCCATCACAGCTAGCCACACCACACAACGTTTATTATATAAACGTTATTCCACCTAAACTTATTTAATTACGGAGGTACCTAATATTATTAATAACTTTGTTCTTATATGCACCCAGGCATACGAAAGAATTAGCGAAAAAATTAAAATTTACTTTTCATCAGTAGTGTTATGCCGGTTATGCGTCACATTAGGAGCGAGCCGCTAGTCGAATGGCTAAAGAAAATCTAAGCATGAAATTTAGCTTAAAATATGTGAAACACATAATTTTAACGTGTTCTTGTGGTTTTTTGTGCTTTTATATCTCATACAAAACTGCTAGAATCCCCTTGATTAATGTTTTGGTGTCGATGGCCATTTCGGCGGGATAGTGTCAGAAATGTCAACAAAAAAACGATCTATATTTTTCACACACGAGTGAAACAGCTGCGCATCTCCGTGATTTGATTTGGAGAATATCATTCATTCATTCTTTTTAACCGATTTCCTAATATTGAGGTGTATTTTTTATATGGAATAGAAGGCAAAAGAGCAGACGGATCACCTCATGGTAAGCGATCAGCGCCGCCCATGGACACCCGCAACACCAAAGGAGTCACAGGTGCGTTGCCGGCCTTTTTAAAAGGAATACGCTCTTTTCTTGAAGTTTTGAAGGTCGTATCGGTTCGGAAATACCACCACAACAGATCATTCCACAGTTTTGCTGTGCGAGGCAGAAAGCTACGCGCACAGTTGTGGCCTGCCAAGTGCCAACCATCAATATGATAGGGATGCATATGCTGTCGTTTTTTATTTTGTCAAGATATTTTTTTGACGTAAATTAATTTGATTTAGTTATTATGTTTCTTAATCTCTATTTATCTTAACGTAATGTTAGTCTAACACTATTAAAGCAGTCGCTTTAGATGTAAAAACAAAAAACGATATTACGATAGGTAAGTACCTACAAAGGATTGATTAGCAATAAGTTGGCAACTTGCTACATTGCTTTACATAAATTCATTACACAATTAACTCGTCGAGTACCGGTTTTGTAGACACAATTATAGAACAATTTTTTTTTTTTTTTTGAGGGGGGAAAATCATCGAATGACTGCTCCCGCCTGGGTGAGGCGGGAGGGAGTGTCAGACTCTTACTGACTAAAAACCACCCCGTTCCTTCTCCTGCACGTCGAGCCGGAGCCCCGGTTACCCGTTAGGTTCTCCGCGACTCCGAATCGGCATCGGCCCTATTGGGCCCCATCTGTGGTGGTCTGATGGCTCTTTGAGGCGCGCGCAATTATAGAACAATAGGTTGCGGTCACCGGTGACCGCTTGGTGTTTGACAGTTTAAAGCAAGTGCAGTGACCAAGTTACTTAGCATATAGATAAGAAAATAACATATAACACACACACACATACATTACAGCACTTAATGCCACAATCATAGACATGGCGGACCGCGGTCGAGCGCACTTCGGGGGTTCAAAACAACATCTTACAGAATAGCCGTGCTGTATTAGTACTACTTAACTTTTCTAATATGTAAGCGTTTATAATTTGTAATTCATAGTAGTAACACATACTTCCAAAACTAAGTGGGCTAATGGAAACTGTGCCTAATCTGCTCACCTCTCTTAGGCAAATAACAAGCATGATGATATACATAGGTGTATGGCAATAGGCTCACCCCCTATTACATGGGACTCATAACATAAATAGTGAAAAGTGGGTGTTAACAGTCGTGGTGGCCCGGAGGTTTAAGACGCCCGCTTCTCATGCATGAGGGTGCGGGCTCGAAACCTACTAACGGCAAGTACCAATGTGACTTTTTCCGAGTTATATGTACTTTCTAAGATTATTCAGACACCACTGACAAACGGTGAAGGAAAAACATCGTGAGGAAACGTACGTTATGTTATGTTATGATATACATAGTAAACAGTTACAACAACATACCTGGGTATAATAACAGCGGTATTTTTATCCTTTCTCTGACTTTCTCTTCTCTTGTCATAATCCCGCTTTTCTCTACTCAACTCCCTCTCCAATTCGAAACTCCTGTCTCTCTTCTCTCTGAAACTAGTCACGAAGACATCGTGCCTGTCAAAAGACGGCTGATTTTCAGCTAGATGTTCAGGCAGACCGTAGTTTAGTTTCTGCTGAGCTTTCGGGGAGATAGGAGAAGTTGGAACACTTGTTCTTGATGTCAGATTAGCACAGGACTTAGACGGTGTTACTCCTTGCGTAGGAGTGCTTGCAGCAAATTTTCTAGGCGTCTCAGAATACCTATTTTCTACAGATTTATTCGGCGTTATTCTAACTGAAGGCTGGCTGGCATAGCTCTTTAATTTCCTAGGCGTTGACAGCAGTTCGTGAAGCTTTTGCGTCGCAATCAAATTCTTTTTTGACATTACTGGTGATGTGAACGTCACATTCATTTTCCGCGGCTCCTCATCCTCAGATGGTATTATAGCGTATCTCAGTGTTCTTCCATTCACAGTTTTGACAATTTCCGTTGGTATTTCTTTCAGTTCGTTCTCGTCTGGTCCATCGACATTGTATTCATCTATTTCGTCAGCTTTCGCTTGCACTATGCGCTTTTTTGTAGGCGAATAATCAACTATATCGTCGATATCTTGTATGACTTCGTACCTATGTTTTGTCCTGCTATCTTCCAGTCCATCATCACTGTCTGCTCGTCTGTCATATCTAGATAGTCTCTGCTGTTTTAATTGGGCCATTTCCAGGTCCTCACTTCTTGTTCTGCAACGAACTGATCGGGTAGGTTTGTAGACTAAAGAAGACTGACGCTGGAAGCTTCTGTTAAGAAATTTGGCAGGTTTTGGTGGTAGTTCTGGCGGCTCATCATCTCTGTACCTTGGAGCTCCAGCTGGAGACATGCGTAAAGGATTATCAGATATATCTGTCCTTAAAATTCTGTTGTTCACTTCTGTCTTCCTTGGAGAGTTTGCGCCTAAAGGCGGCATGCGTTGCCTCTCTGGCGAAACTATTCTCGTTTTGCATTTTTGCTGTGCGTATGCCGATTCGCTTTGTGGACAAAACGCCTGATTTGTATAATATTTGTACACGATTTTCGGTGAATCCATTGTTTTTTTTAAGCGTAGTACTTCCCCGGGTTGATTATAAGTACTTAAATAGTCGTTATAGCATGATTCCTGTCTTCTGAAGGGGTGTTCTTGCACCGGAACCGTTCGACTCGACTGATTTTCTTACACTTAGTCACTTAAACACTAGGTTTTAAACAATTTTGTTAAGCACTACTTTTTTAAACTAATTTTAAACACGAAGAACTAAAATCTAAAACTGTTTCTTAAAATACTTTTTGTGTACCTAGGTTTTAACCAATTTGTTTGGTATTTTTATTTAATTTTTCACTTTGAAAGCACTTTAGAAACTAACACTACAACTTATAATAAGTATAAAATAGTAATTATATATTAAATTCTTAAAATACACACGTCTTTCCAGTTCGACGTTTAACCGTCAACTGTAAAATTATTCCTTTTTCAAAAAAACACCGGGGTCGGAAACGGCGTCCGCGCACCCCTGCAAACAGGCACGCGCTGTTTGAATTCCAAATTCAAATAGCTCTAGCAAAGTGAAAATAAACCCTATACTTTCAGTGTTAAAGTTCAAAATACGTTAATAGTAACTTTTAATTGAATGTTTATACAAAAGAAAAACCGTTTATTGGATTTTGTACCCTATTTAACAGGAAATAGAGAAGAAATTGGAAAAAAGAGATATTTGAATAGAAATTTTAGCTGTTACCTTGTGCAATTATTGAATGAGCTTTCAACAAAGGTCCAAGGGTCGTGGAACTCCCCTGTTTTGGACAGTCGGTTTGATATATTTTTTGATCTGATAGCTATTACTTAGACTATTAAATATAGCGTTTTATCTAGGTACATCTTCATTAATAATTGGGTACTTTCCAAATTATTTCAACTGTTCAATACAACAAAATATTAAAAACCACCAGGTTTTATGACCATCTTAATTTTAATATATTGCCAGCAAATTAAGAAATAAGTACGTTGTTTGACGCTAAAAAAACGTGACGTCACAAAACACAATTCGTAGAAAACTGTCGTTTTTGACAGTTCAAAATAAGGATTGAATTTGACTAGTTGGCAAGTACCCGATTGTGTTTTTCGGCTTACGAACATAAGTAACTGTTTGACGACGAAGGTACAAGTCCCACTATAAGATCCACTATAATATTAATCAGGTATGTACAGGAATTAATATCTTCGTTTATAATAAAATTATTTCTTATTGAAACATCTTTATTACACTTCTTGTGTTTTTGTTTTCGTCTCGAAGTAAAATGGTTCTGTCTCGGTAGTACAATAGTTTTACAAAGAAATTAAATGTTTAAAACAAACAATAACTGGTGAACCATTGCTAACAGCAAACGTCGAAAGCGCATACGAACTCATAGTACATTATCAAAACATCACGCCATGTAATTCTCGACGAGGTATTTCTCGTCGGGGGCACGTGCGATGCGAATAGTGCCTACACATTTACGTCTAGTGTTTCATATGCGTTAGTAGTTTCTATGTAACCTAAGTTCACGAAACACCTTCATAATATTTTGCTGTCCCGATGAAAGAGTCCTGCTGATTCCACTTTCTATTGTATAATTATTGTTATTACGTGGCTCGAGACGAGGGTAGCACGTGCCGTGCCGTGTAACGGTCGATGGCAGCTGGTAGACACACAGCTGCAAGATGAGGTACTCAACCTTTGGTGTGTTGGTATTTTGTTCCAGTGTTTTTATGGTTGTAGGTATGTACCTATTGTAGATTCGTGGTGTTTTTTTAAGGGGGGAAAATCATCGAATGACTGCTCCCGTCTATCTGGGTGAGGCGGGAGGGAGTGTCAGACTCTTACTGACTAAAAACCACCCCGTTCCTTCTCTTGCACGTCGGGCCGGAGCCCCGGCTACCCGTTAGGTTCTCCGCGACTCCGAATCGGCATCGGCCCTGTTGGGCCCCATCTGTGGTGGTCTGATGGCTCTTTGAGGCGTGCGCAGTGTGGAATGGTCGTGCGACCCGAGGTTTAACCTGTTAGTCTCTAAACATTGGAAATAAGGTCTATAATGTAGTCAGTGGAGAGCCGTCACCGGTGACCGCTTGGGGATATAAGGGAAGACGCCCGGCTCGCTTCTCATGCATGAGAGTGGAAGCTCAAAACCTACCAACGGCAAGTACCAATGTGACATTTTCAGTTATATGTATATACCTTCTAAGATTATCTAGACACCACTGACAAACGGTGAAGGAAAACATCGTGAGGAAACCTGGGCTTATAATTTCTAATTATAAGTATGTAATCACCAACCCGTATTCAGCAAGCGTTGTGATTAATAGGAGCGCTCAAACCAATAAATAGGAGCTGGTGACACCGCGAGAATAGATAGTCCTAGTTAAATAAGATAAGATTCTATTGGGTAGCCTATCTCAATTTAGTTGAAAAATTATCTTTTTTTCCAACAATTTTTTTTTGTTTAAGTATTTTTTCGAATTCGAATCTACTTATACATTTTCGTAGTAAAATAAAATACGGTTTCGACCATTACATTCTATTATTTAATATTAACAGTCATGTGAAAACGAGTGCGTATCAAGACAATGTTGTGAACTCCTGCATGCGTGTGCGCCCCTCGCCCGTATCACATTGACATTCTGTGATCGGCGCACAAATCGATAATATAGGTACCTATACCTAGATATATGTATTATTGTGTTGACCTTCAGATAGGAAATGTAGTTTTTGTTAGAATTATGTATGAACTAAAACTGTGAATAATTAATGCATAATAATCTAGTTAGGTCATATTAATATCCATGGGCGACGCTGATCGCTTACCATCAGGTGATCCGTCTGCTCGTTTGCCTCCTATTCCATATCTAGTTAGGTATTAAAATAAAATAAAAATAAATAAAATTAGCCTTTATTACTGAGGTTAAAAATTTAAAATTCAGTCTCTATTACTATATATGTATAATACTATACATCAGTAGTTTTATCCCCAGCTTGCCCTTCGACATAGGCCTCTTCCAAAGATAGATAGAATAGAATAGAAAAGCCTGTATTTCTCTTAAGACAATATACAAAATTTGTTTCTTAGTATTTATTAACTAATTTGCTTGTTTCTTATTGTGTTAGGTAAATTGTTGTATTTAGTCAGCGAGAACCCTTTAGGTATATAAAAAATTTTGCAGGTAAAGGCCTCCTCCAAGTTTTGCCAATCGTCTCTTGACTTCGCCGTTTGTATCCAGTGTGATCCAGCTATTTGTTTAATTTCGTCTTCCAAAGATATTAAAATAAAATAAATACTATAATAATGAGAACTAAGTAATATCTATATTACACATACAAATAACTAAAAACTAAGATACCTATTTAATTTACACCTTATAATAATGACCTTAAAAAAATAATGAAAATGTTAGCAAAAGGCATAAAAAACTTTTTCTTCATCGCTATCGTGGTGCCCAAAAGACTGGCAATGATTCACGAAAGTTTTAATGAAATTCTTATTACAAAACATAGCATCACGCCTTTATCCCCGAAGGGATAGGCAGAGGTGCACATTATGCCACTGTACAATGTAACACCCACTTTTCACTATTTACGTTATGAGTCCCATGTAATAGGGGGTGAGCCCATTGCCATATACCGGGCACAATATCAGACTGAGGTACAGCTGAGAAATTTTTTTAAATCCAATAAAACTTTGCCTGACCTGGGAATTGAAACCGAGGTCCTTGCCCAGCAGTCGCACTTGCGACCACTCGGCCAACGAGGCTGAAGTTCTTAATTCTTATTAACGTTTAAATCGTGAATAGTGCTGGTGTCCGATAGCTTAAATAAATTGTACTAAAAGGTCCTACAACAAACAGGGGAGCAGATAGTCAGGTGTCTACTCGGCGAGCAGAAACATCAAGATTAGATACCGTAGCTTTTTAAAATATCCGGTTTTGATAACAATGGCAAATAGAACTTGTTGTTGCAATACATAAATGTAGGTATATACATAGATCGGAGTCGCGGAAGAATTAACGGGTTACCGGCGTGGTTTTTAGTCAGTATGAGTCTGACACTCCCTCTCGCCTCACCCAGGCGGGAGAAGTCATTGGATGATTTTCTCCCCTCAAAAAAAAGGTATATACATAAGTACTCTCAGAGGACGCCCTCAGCACTTCGTAGACAGTTCCGGCTTTATCATAAAGACACTCGGGGTCCGTGCCCAGGCTTCGAAGGACCGACAATTTCTTCGACGGACACACCCGCTATAAGTTGCGCCATTTCGTAGCGGGTTCGATTCGGAGTAAATGTTTGTGTGCTCCACAAATTGTTGATTCTGGTCTGGGTGTATCATGTGTATGTGGACTTGTATGTTTGTAAATGCACCCACGATACAGGAGAAAGTCGTACTGTGGTGTACTGTCCTCCTTTAGCGAAGTGGTCATGCTAGCTAAGGAGAAGGCGGGGCACATGATGCAGCGTAGCGCTGCCTCCTCACAACCCAGCCGTCGCGAAGGACACTCCGGACGTCGGGGATCGCGGGACGATTTCTGGCCACCATAAGCGCGGGCCTGCAGACGGCGGGCATGGGTGGCTCCCCGTCCGACCAGAACCAGACCCGAGCGTACGGCGCCGAGCGTTCCGCGGGCGCCTTAAAGAGCCATCAGACCACCACGGATGGGGCCCAATAGGGCTGATGCTGATACGGAACCGCGGAGGACTTAACGGGGCTCCAGCTCGAAGGGTAGGAGTAGGAACGGGGTGGTTTTTAGAAGTCAGTAAGAGTCTCTCAGGCGGGAGAAGTCATTCGATGATTTGGGCCCGTGTAGTCTAAATCGGCCCTGCTAAAATGCACTCCTAACTTGTCTCGCACTTCCCTCTGTAACCTGGCGCCCTAGATACTTGCATCGTTTGCCTTATGAATAATACGGCCCTGTATACTCTTCCCTAATGTAGATATTTGATTAAAATTAATTAGTCCGCCGACCCCACTCTTTCCGCAAGTTAGTATCGTAAGAGGCGACAAGCTTATTCTTGAATAGCCGCTTCTGCGCTGTCCCACCCACTCTGCTCGGCTCCTATTTATCATAGCGTGATGTTTTATAGCTTACCCCGTGGTATGCCAGAACGTAAATATGCGCGAGACACAAATGTGTTTTCTATTGTGTCATTGTGTCTCATAAGCCGGCAGAAAAGAGGTTAATAGCTTTTCTCAATATTAAATCAAATATCCAACAAAATTCCCAGGTCGTGCACCTCTACCTACCGTCTGGAGATAAAAGGCGTGTTATGTTATGTCCTACCAAATAATTTTTTTTTATATCTTGCACCTAGAATAGAAGTTCTTGAGATTAGTGGGACCAAACAAACAAAATTTTCAGCTTCGTATATTTTAGCAAGTAGGTATAGATTTTTTTTTAAGGGGTGAAAATCATCGAATATCTGCTCCCGCCCGGGTGAGGCGGGAGGGAGTGTCAGACTCATACTGACTAAAAACCACCCCGTTCCTTCTCCTGCACGTCGAGCCGGAGCCCCGGTTACCCGTTAGGTTCTCCGCGACTCCGAAGTTGGTACCTATAGATTATAAAGCATTCATAAAACTTGCGTCATTGTTGGAGTCATATGTTCAGCAGTGGACATCCTGTGGCTGATATGATGATGAATAGAACTTGGTTTTCTAAAAAAATGAACATAACATAACATCACGCCTTTTGTCCCCCAAGGGTTAGGCAGAGGTCTGTGCACATTACGGCACTTAATGCCACTGTACAATGTAACACCCACTTTTCACTATTTTTTGTTATGAATCCCATGTAATAGGGGGGTGAGCGAATTCGAGACTCCGTGCCACTACTGAGAATTTTTTAAAAACCTAGTAATACTTTGCCTGAACCGGGAATCGAACCCGAGACCCCTTGCCTGGCAGTCACACTTGCGACCACTCGGCCAACGAGGCAGAAAATACTTCTTGTTTTTTAATTTACCCTCGAAAAGCACAGCTATATGATTTTCTTCAGTTACCCTCAAAGTTAATCATAGTTCTAAAGATTGGTTCAATAAATTGATTGAGTTGTATGCATGTATGTTTGTGCGCTAATATCTCGCGATTGGCTTAACCAATTTTGATTCAGTTTTCAGAAAAGTGTTTATTCCACTTAGGAGAAAGTTTTTTTTTAAGGGGGGGAATTCATCAAATGACTGCTCCCGCCCGGGTGAGGCGGGAGGGAGTGTCAGACTCTTACTGACTTAAACCACCCCGTTCCTTCTCCTGCTCGTCGAGCCGGAGCCCCGGCAACCCGTTAGGTTCTCCGCGACTAGGAGAAGGTTTAGTTTAATAAACCCCGAAAAAAGAGGAGGTTGAAGGCTTTTTTAAACGTAGTTTTGAAAACAATTATTTTAGTACGACTAAACTATAACGTTCCATTCTTTAAGATAATACCGTAATCATAGATATTCTACGCTAGCACATAGCATCGCTGGTACCTACATTATTTCACTAACTATTTACCTTTAAAAAAATAGGTATCTACCCTTCAAAAACCAAATTATTTATAGCTACACAATGCATTATTGTCTTAGACATCACTGACAAACGGTGAAGGAAAACATCGTGAGGAAACCCTGGGCATACAATTTGTAATTATAAGTTTGAAGTCGCCAACCCGCATTGAGCAAGCGTGGTGATTAATGCTCAAACCTTCTTCCTGTGAGAATAGGTCTTCGGTCAGTATTGGCCACTTATAGGCTGTATATGATGATGACACAATGCACGCCCACTTTTATAAGCAGTTGAAAAAAAAGAAAAAAAAGACAAATAAGAATTAAAAATATTTATTACTATAATTAATAAATTATTCACAAGTAAACCGTCCTTTACAGACTTTGGTTTTTTAAAAACAAAAAGAGAAAGAACATTGCATTCCTGTAGAGAGATTCTGTAACGAAAGAAATCGATATCGAAGCTCGACAGAACTATATTGATAAGAAACGCATTAATTTCTTTAAAGAATTAGTACTATCGAAGCGTAGTAAAAGCACAAATAGACGATCGAACCGAACCGTCACTTATCCGTTCCGGACCATATTTGATAGTGTGTAGGTAATGCAATTTTTTACACATTTTCAATAGATACCATCGGACCGCTGTACCAAATTGATGGTACGGTGACGATTCAGTCCGATCTATTTGTACTTTAAGACTCGAGACTTCATACTAATTATTGGCAGAATACAGAGGCCTTAGAACGAGTTTGTTTTACGTTTAAAGTATTCGAAACGATTACGCGTTCCGCACTCTGATTGGCCGGCACCAAAGAGCCAACCAATCAGAAGCCTTAGTACGAGTTTCTTTTTCGTTTAAAAGAAAACGTAACGAGTACACGTTCAGCGCTGTAATTGGTCGGCTCCAATGAACAAACCAATCAGAGCACAAAACGCCGTCTCGTTTCGAATACTTTAAATGAAAAATAAACTCGTACTAAGCCTTCAGAGCGCCGAACGCGTACTCGCTACGATTACTTTTAAACGTAAAACTGAGAACTAAAATCAAATGCCTTTACTTTCCAAACGGTTCGATATCGATTCGAAGTGCTACAGAATCGCTTCGCAGGACCTTGTCATTCACCAGGGAACTGCAAAACGCATACCTCTTCAACTGTCACTTTTCATAGTCTTTTTCGGAAGTAGAATCGGGTTTATCGACGGCATCACGCCTCCTTGCGATATCGTGACGCCTGATAGCATTTTGTTAAGTTCTTCATCGTTCCTGACTGCGAATAGTATGTGTCTTGGTATCACTCTTGCCTTGTGATTATCTGTTGCCGCTTCGGCAGCTAGTTCTAAAATTTCTGCTGCTAGATATTCTAATGCGGCTGCCAAATAGATCGGTGCTCCGCTCCCAATTCGTGGCGCATAATTTCCTTTTCGCAAAATCTTGTGAATTCTTCCAACTGGAAACTGGAGTCCAGCTCTTGAAGATCTCGACTTGTTCTTTCTTGGTTTTGTAGACATAATATTACAATATTATAAGTGTATATAGAAATATATAGAATTTGGTGCTCAATTGGTTGGACATGAATGGTTTTTTATGTTGTATTTCTTAGCTGTACCAGTAGCGGGTGGTTGTGATATGGTCGCGTAATTCGACCAATGAGGTTGGCTCGTTTAGTCCGATTGTTTTTACTTTTTTTTAATTATTTTCTAAACGTTACCAGTTATTAGGAATGCGCCTAATTTTTTTTTTTGTAACATTAATTTTATATCAATGATATCAAATGAATACATACGTACACATTTTAATTTGATTACTTATTCCTAGGCCTATTCTTAGAATGACTAAATGGTCAACATAAGATAAAATCACGCCATTTATTCCCGAAGGAGTAGGCACAGTGTGTAAGTGCCGTTGTGTAATGTAAAAGGCGTGATGTTATGTTACTTTGCCCGATCCGCCCGGGAATCGAACCCGAGTCCCTTTGCCCAATCAATCCGTGGTTATTGTTATATAAACCATACATGATACTTCTGCCTACCTCTTTGCGCAGAAATGGCAGTAAGTAATATGAGTATTTACTTAGTTTCAAAACTGCACAATAATTTATGGACATAGGGGTACTTTTTTTAAGAGCAGAAAATCATCGAATGTCTTCTCCTACCTGGTTGAAGCGAGAGGGAGTGTTAGACTCTTACTGACTAAAAACCACCCCGTTCCTTCTCCTGCACTTGGAGCCGAAGCCCCTGTAACATTTTACATTCTCTGCGATAGGTGTACTGACGTCAAATTATCTAACATTCGAATATTAATGTATGTACCTAACCTAGCTACACAGTCGCTAACGATGTCAATTTAGGATTAACTTTGATTTGATATTGCCTGTAGCCATTAAAAAATCAACCATAAAAGTACTGTTCATAATGATCATTTTCGCCTACATATAATTTATTCTTTTTTACTATGAATGAGGTAGGTACTTACAATAAAATAGAAGAAAAGAACACTACTTTTTTAATGTAGATAATAAATTATCGTTTTTGACGTACTCAACCACAGAAACTTAGATAATCTGTAGCCCTGAAAAGGGCTTTTGTCATAGATAATTTCGTTGGCCCAATACTGGGATGTCAAAAGTAAAAAATATAACCATATTTTCAATATTAAATCTTTACGCTCTTTCTCCTCGTACTCTGCGGGCTAATTGTACATCTTTAGGCATTATTGTAACCCTTTTAGCGTGAATGGCGCATAAATTCGTGTCTTCAAACAATCCGACGAGGTACGCTTCACTCGCTTCTTGCAACGCCATGACAGCTGAACTTTGAAACCGAAGATCAGTTTTGAAATCTTGAGCTATCTCCCTAACCAACCTTTGGAACGGTAATTTTCGTATCAGGAGTTCGGTACTCTTTTGATATCTCCTAATTTCTCGTAAAGCGACGGTCCCAGGCCTGTATCTATGAGGTTTTTTCACTCCTCCCGTGGCTGGAGCGCTTTTTCTAGCTGCTTTTGTGGCTAACTGTTTTCGAGGAGCCTTCCCACCGGTTGATTTTCTTGCAGTTTGCTTTGTTCGCGCCATTTTTGACAGTTGACAGAGTTAAAGCGTCGTTTTTTTTAATGTATTTTACTCATTGACTAGAACGTATTTTTTCTACACTCATTGATTGACTAAGCCGATTGAGCATTCTGCCTCTTTAATATAGCTTTGGTTCCGATATTTTAAAAGTTGTGGGTAATTTTATTAATTGTTGAGGTAAGATTACCCTCTGTTGGAACTGTTTTTGTAATAACGAAGTATGGAATCTTCCATTAGTTAGCAATTCTAAATTGATATTATTACAGTTACTTAGTGAATTACCTCCTCATGTAGGTAGGCACATACATTCATAACTTTATTTCAGTACCACTTACTTTTATAGCTCTTTTAATGATAGGTACAGATTTAATATCACACTTTTAATCTATCGAAAAAATGCAAAAGATATACTTAGTATTCCAAAGTATCCTTTCTGATTCTGTAGAATACAGACAGACTCATAGACTCTTTTAGAAGGTAGATAGGGTTAGATATAATTATTACCTATATTTCGTACCTAGGTTAATGACTGAATAATGCAGGTAAATAATAATTTCCGATTTGAAAAATGATAAACCTACTTTCTACTCAAATATAGCTAAGTAGGTACAGTGTAGGTGTGCAGGATCATATCATAGACAAAGTAGGTAACACCTACATTGGTATAATATGCTACAGACAGGCAAGAATTGTTATTTAGTGATAACCCCCAGTAGGTATTATTATATTATTTTAAACGTTTTTGACTTCTGTTAGAAGAAACAAAATCTGATGCGGCCCTGAAAAGGGCCATGTCAACAGTAATAAATAAAAAGGTAACTAAATCAAACGTTTCATTTATTTCTTCATTTAACCTTAAAATTATTCACCCGCCAAAACCGTACAGCGTTCTTCCTTGTCTCTTCAACGCATAGACAACGTCCATAGCTGTCACAGTTTTTCTTTTCGCGTGTTCTGTATAGGTCACGGCATCACGGATTACGTTTTCCAGGAAAACTTTCAAAACGCCACGGGTTTCTTCATAAATTAATCCAGATATTCTTTTGACGCCGCCTCGTCTCGCTAACCTTCTGATAGCTGGTTTTGTAATACCCTGAATATTATCACGAAGAACTTTTCTGTGACGTTTAGCGCCTCCTTTTCCTAAACCTTTTCCGCCTTTGCCGCGACCAGTCATTTTGACGTAATTAAAAAACTATCTGTGGTAAACCTATTTTATGAAATGAGTCGCCTCGCGCGTGTCACGCTTTTTATATCGTTGGATCGCTGATTATTAAAAAGTTGTGGGTGTGTGTTAAAATTTTAACGAAATACATTTTTCCTTGTACCTTGAACACTTATAGTTAACATGTCAGTACCTATACTTTTGGATGATATTCTATTATTTAAGTACAAATACCTACGTAATAACGATCATAATTGAAGTCGATCAGTCATTGGCTAACACCACAATAAATCAATCACCACACCCTACCACTTATTGCCGCGTAAAAAACTATACACGACACAGAATCGCGGCAAAATTGACATTAAGAAAAAACAATTGACAATTGTAAAAACATCAAACATGGCGCCCGTTAAAGTGCCGAAAAGGGCGGCAAAATCAATAGAGAAATTAATCGAGAAACCAATAAATAAATCGAAGAAAATGAAGAAAAAGAACTATCAGAGTTTTTCTATATATTTATACAAATTATTGAGAACCGTGGCGAAAGAAAACTTGGGTATTTCGAGGAAATCAATGTTGATTATGAATAACTTTGTTAACGATATGTTGGAGAAGATTGCTGAAGAAGCAGGCAGGTTGGTTGCCCATAGTAAGAAGACCACAATGAGTAGTAGAGAGATCCAGGCTGCAGTTAAACTGATAATACCAGGAGAATTAGCCACTCACGCGAATATAGAAGCCTTGAAAGCCATCAGTATGTATCATAAAAGCCACGAACGGGATGCCGCAGCAAAAACCTGAATTTGACGAAACAGAAATCGCTTGTGGACGTTCAATTGAAGTAAATTATTAATTAAACATGTTGATTTATTGAATAAATGGTAGTTTTGATTTTTTGGTTTGTAGTTTTATTTTTTGTGTGGGTACTTTTTTGAGTATCAACACTACTGATGTTCTAAATATACGTATCCATTTTGTATCCGCGGATATTCGAGAGAAAATAATAATCCGTGTCCGTTACTTTTCACTCGAATCTTTTACGGATCTTCTTCAGATAATAAGGTAGAATTAAAAAAAAACTAAAATTCCATTCAGAGTAAGTATTTATAAAATCAAATATTTGGCACAGCCTTCTTTTGCAAACATTTAGATAGATCTTTGAAATTCTCGTTATAAAAGTTATAACTTCACTTTAATGACAATGAAATAATTAAAAAACTCGTTGAGTACCGTCATTATAGACACAATTAAAGAACAATAGGTTGCAGTCACCGGTGTCCTCGCGGTGTTTGACAGTTTAACTCGTCGAGTACCGGTTTTGTAGACACAATTATAGAACAATAGGTTGCGGTCACCGGTGGCCGCTTGGTGTTTGACAGTTTAATGTCATTTTATGTACCTTCGTACCTCATTAGTCGAGTGGTCGCAAGTGTGACTGCCGAGCAAGGGGTCTTGGGTTCTATTCCCGGGTCGGGCAAAATTACTGGGTTTTCTACAAATCTCAGTATTAGCACGGAGCCTGGAAATGTGCCCGGTATATGGCAATAGGCTCACCCTCTAGCCCCCTATTACATGGGACTCATAACATAAATAGTGAAAAGTGGGTGTTACATTGTACAGTGACATTCAGTGCCATAATGTACACCTCTGCCTACCCCTTCGGGGATAAAAGGCGTGATTTTATTATGTTATAAGTATCTACGTAATAGGTTGTAAATAAAAAGCAACCAATCATTACTAAAATATCATTTAATAATTATTATATAATACAAGTAAATAACATTATACACTCAATTTCACTAAACAATACACAGAAATATAAAACCTACCTACATATTAATATGAACTATATTTGAAATACCCACTTTACTAATTCTAGGTCTAAAATTAAACAATGGTTAATACTTAGGTCTAAAAGAGCATTGTTTTTATGTTTTAAATACTATTTTACGTTTTAAGTGTGGGAGAGCTATGCTTCGGAAAATCGGAACTGCTGGGCCGGCTCGACCGGAGTCAGTTTTCTGCTCGGCCGTGGTATCACTGCGGTCGAGCCGACCCCTTCGGGCCAAAGTACGGCTCTCCCACGCTAAATCATTATTTTTCGCTTAAGGGATAAGCAGAAATAAATAACAACATTACCTATATAATAATGTGTTGGACTGCGTTGATATAAGCCATTCTCAGTAATTCATCAATTGACAGACTTTTGTGTTCTTTATTTATATTAAAATGACCTTCTAGGGTCCGAGCTTGGATGAGACCTCTAAACGAATATGTATCAGAGACAATGTAGAACATACTTTTTTAAAAAGAGTAACGAATGGGGTTTCTTGCTCGTTCTCCATTCGAATCTACATATTAGAATGAGCACCTAGCTTCACTGACGGACTGACTGATAGACTATTATTTATTTTGTATTTATTGACGTATCAAAAGTACCAAATTATGGTTTAATTGAAATAAATGCTTTGACTTTGAAACCTTCAGACAGTCAACGCCATCTATTAGTAAACCCCCAAATTACTAAGCATATGTGTCAGTATAATTTGATGTACGTCTCTGAATACGGTGCGTACGTTGTCCGTATCAGTAGCTGTTGTGAAATGAAAGTAACATTCCCTCGGACGTCTGGCTTCGGCGATGACGAACCGTTCGGCGGACGCGTCTAAAGCGCGGCGTTCTCGTTTCTTTGTTATTAGGTCCTGGAAGAGATTGAGTTTGGTCAAATTTTATTAAAGTTAAACAAGTACAAAATTATCGCTAGGTGAGCCAAGCAACAGCCTGGAAAGAATGTGGTACAATTTCGAGGGAGCTTCGATTTTGGCTGGAAATTGGAGAAAAACTATGTACTACTAATTTCGTAGTAGAGGCGGAGTACAAGATTCTATGGGCCCAAATCCAGCCTGACATTTTCCTAAAATCCCATAATATTTTGGTCGACTCAGGAATCAAACCTGACAACTCTTGCCTATTGTCTCTTTTATGGACTAAACATAGCCTTTAAAATGTAATGAACAATTTTAATTAGTATTTAGTAAGGCTCCTTCAGCTCATTGCCTATAAGAAACTTCAAACATCCAGTAATTTTGTTTAAATTGGCGGTGGAAAACCGACAATATAATAACATTATTGACGAACGTGGTAAAATCAACAATATTAGTATGTAAAGAGAATACGCGCATGGTAAAAAAATTGTATTTTTCACACAAACAGACAACGCCATCTAGTGGCGCCATAAGTAACTAAACATATTTGGCGAACAACATATTATTCATCTTTGCAATTTTTTTTACTGATAACTTTATGATGTTTGCGCGTGATTATTGGCGTTTGTTTGAACCGATATTGATGCGGTTTCGAAAAAATGTGAATGTTGTAGTAGTTATATGAAGTAACCGGTTTCAAAAAAAAAAAGGGAGGGGGGGGGGTTTGAAGTCGTTTTTTTAAATGTAGTTTAAAATCAATAAATATTATTTAAATGCATGTTTAACCATAATATATTAGCATGATAACCTAGCCGTTTCAGTGACTTAAAAACCCACTCGCTCTAATTGTTTCCCCAAAAATCCTAGAGTATAATTCGTTCAGTAATAAAAAAAAAACAATACGTACTACGAACAGACTCCTAATAAACAGCTTGGTCCTTGTGTATTCGTCGCCAGCAGCTTCGAACTCATTATACTTCGGGAAGTAGGGTGCTATACTGCGACCCTGAGCCACCTTGCTTTCTAGCAGGTCTTGTTTATTTAAGAACAGAATTAAACCGGCTTCCAGGAGGAACCTGGAAATAATAAGGGATACATACATTATACAGAATAGATTGATGACTGTTGATGAAGCGAAAGAGGTATGTAAGAATCTTAGCATTCTTAGCAATTAGCGTTCGTTCCATAGTCTCTGCCTATCCCCATGGGAGACAGGCGTGAAGTTATGTATGTATGTATGTTTGTACATACATATATAATATATACTGACCAGATTGGCGATATATTAAAGAAAGGCCAAAATAAAAGTACCCTTAACCGACTATCATGCGTGAAACGACTGATGACTGTTGATGAAGCGAAAGAGGTATGTAGGAGTCGTAGTAATTGGCGTTCCATAGTCTCTGTCTACCCCCATGGGAGACAGATGTATACTATATAAATACATAACTTCACGCCTCGAGTCCAGCCGGCCTAATCGTGATTAATTAAAATTAACCGTTGATTGGAACATCACTTAGGAGAAAGAATTTTGTCTTCACAAAAATGTAGCCTTTTTAATTAATATCAAAAATGTACCTGCTTTGCCAGACATCTTCAAACAGCGCCAGGGCCTCTTTGAGTCTGTTCTGCGTGGCGTCCTCTCGCAGTGTCTGGTCGAAGTCGCTGCATGCCACCAGAAACCAGATCGCGTTTATACCTTCGAATACCTGGAGAAACAGACGGTTTATTGTAAAAAATAAATGAAAATAGAATTACATTAGTGAGATCGATTTTTGACATTAATTTTAAGGAGATTTGCCATAAGCTTAGATCACAGTCATCACATCAACAGCCCTTAAGTGGCCACTGCTGACCAAAGGCCTCTTCTCTCACGGAGAAGGTTTGAGCATTAACTCCTTGAACGCCATGGGGGACAAAATATAGGCCACGATAGCGGAGGATTTACCTTCAACAGTTTTCTGTCGGGAGTTAAACTGTTAATCACCACGCTTGCTCAATGCGGGTTGGCGATTTCAAACTTATAATTAGAACTTGTAAGCCCAGGTTTCCTCACGATGTTTTCCTTCACCGTTTGTCAGTGGTGTCTAGATAATCTTAGTAAGTACATATAACTGGAAAAAAAGTCACTTTGGTACTTGCCGTTGTTACCCGCACTCTCATGCTAGGTCTATAATAAAATGTAGTAAAGAAGTATAAGGGTACCTGTATCCATTTTTTCCTCTCCCCCCTTTGGCCTCCGACATCGAACATCCAAAATTCTTGTACACCACCTTGCATTGATTTTGGTACCTGCAACATAAATTAAGTAGGAATAGTAGGTCCTAGAATCCTTAATCCCTAAGCCCCGAAAGGCCGGTAATACACCGGTTTCTTTTTTATTTGACAAGCCCGCCTCAATCTCCCAAAACCGCTGCAACTCCTGTAAGGAAGGATCTACAGTAGATACAACCATGAATAGTGAATTTATAGGGAAAGGTTATAGGCTATAAAATATTCACGCTACAATCAAAAGGAGCAGTGCAGAGCGAATGAAACCGCGCTGAATTAGGTAGTATTAGGTACTACTTATATAAATGCTATTTACCTTGACTTTGAATTCAATCTTCTGTATGCCTGTGGTTTTCTGTCGGCACCTCAATATGTCCGCGTCTGACGGTACATAATCAGTTTTTTCAATAAGATCTATTCTATCTAGGAAACTGAAAACAATAGATAATTTAAATAAAACAAAAATACTAAGAAAAGCGCCATCTATATTCGTAAAATAGAATTGTGTTTGTTTATTTTTGGTCTCAGTAAACAGATAGCACTAGTGATAATGTCGCAGTAGAAGTATTAATTTTGAATTTTCTAAAACAAACCATTTTTTAAAGGTTAATATAATACAAAAAAAACTTTTTTTTTCTAAATAATAAAAAATTGTGTAGAACTAGTGTCAAATGAAACTTACTATTCAGCGCTATCTATGAGTTGATATTCATTTGATCGTCTAAAGCATTCTCTGACACCTCCATCTCGCCATAAAGTTCTTACGTGGTCAAAATATTCCTGAAAAGAAAATGAATTAAGATAAGCTATTCCTAATTTTAATCCAGAATACATCTTACAGATACATCTTTCTAGGGTGTAATTCTAACGACCACTCGACTAATGAATCACTGAAGTTTATTGATAAAACAAATTATCTAT